CTGATTTATAGGACAATTTCCTTGCCATGGGTTTGAAAGTCTGAAGAGATGGAGGATCTTTTCCTCCAAAAATCTACTTCATGTACCAAGATAAGATAGCTCTATTGGAAAGAGTGTAAGTCAGCCCAGTCCCAAAACAGTTGCGTGACTTTCTAGAGATGAAATACAATAATTCACCACTGGAGAAATTAAAAAAAAAATCTTGCCTTGGATTGAATTGTATCTTTCTCCTCACTTCCCTGGTAACAAAATCAAAAGCAGCAGCTTCTGCTACCCTTGGATACAGCAAAATGCTGTAATCATGGAGCTGCAGCACTCACAGCCAGCAGGAATGTGTTTGACCTTACAGGCTTTATTTGCTCTTAACACACACTCATCAGCCCTCCTGGACTTCTCCATCCCCAATTTACACCTTTATGTTCCATATGAAACAAATTTAATATCACATTTCCAGGCAAGGAGACCTGGAGCTTTATTTTGACTACTACACAGTAATACTTCTACTCAGCACACAGGTACATTTATTACCATAGCTTCATTTAGGACATGCCACAATAAACCAGGAATTATTTTATCTATTTCAGGGAAGAGCATTAAAAAATACTGTGAGAAAATGGAGACTTAGAGCTACATGATTTTGCAGGCTGCCACACTAACATGAATGCAGGTCAACTATTATTTTTGCTTTAATTATATTGCTAGACAGACCTATCAGTTATTTTGTAGTATTATGAGTTGAAATTTAGTTTCTTCAGGCTACATCTTAGGCTTTTCAGCTATTCTTGAGCTGCAGAACTCTAGGAGCTTCTCAACCCTAACCCTCATCCCTCAGCTGTTACATAGGATACCTCAAAATAGAGACTTATGTTTCCTGCCCTGGTGATATAATAAATTTACCAAAAACTGCATTCAAGAGAAGATGACAATTTAAACAAGAAAAAAAAATGAGTTATTTTCTCTATATATCCAAAGTTATTTTGTGGCACTTATGTCTAGTCCATGTTCTGCAAGCTAAACTACAAACAAATTTAACATAAATACTTTAATGAATTTAAGTGTAATTAAACAACATGAAGCTTCTACCAAAGAAGATCCCTGTGGAGTTGATGACTAAGTCAAGAAAGCATACCTGGGAAAGGATATATAGTGTCTGCTTTTACTGTTCCTTAATCATCTGTTACCAGAGACATTAGACAAAACTAAATAGGCCTCTATTGTGAGTAACTACTTCATCTTAAAACTCTGAAAAACCACATTATCTTGTTTTTCTGTTTTGAATAATGCTGATGATAATAACTCATGGAAGAACCTTCTAAAGTATACTAAAACTAAGTGACAGAAGAATAAACTCAGTATGTGAAATTACTGAAGGATGAGGCAGCAAAACTCAAGGCATTTGACTGGATTAAGTTGTTTCATACCCTCAAATTGGCTCATACTGACCTCACACTGCTCAAGACCCAAATAAAAATAAGTAATACCATGAGGGCATTTATATTGAAGTATAGAATCTATACTTCCTCTAGAATAAAAGAGAAAATGATTTCTACACATGTGAGCAGCTATAAAAAGGAAAATAATCAGAAGCCATTGCTGTTTCAGAAGGGGCAAAATCAGATGCTGAAAGAGGAAGATGTATGGGATTCTCTCACTCGCTGAGGACTTTATAGGTCAAAACTAGCACTGAGAATTGACACAGCAGTGGTTCAAGGGACCCAAAGAGTTCACTCCAGAAGCCTCCTGAAGTTGCTGCGCTACAGCACGTTTTCTGCACTATTGCCTCTGCTCTCATCAGGATGAAAAAAAGCCAACTCCCACAGCAAAAGCCTGGTTCCTATGTCTCTTACTCAGTATCTTATGTACAGATTTATGTGTGAATTAATAATCTATGCCTTCAGCTCAGGAAAAAGGCGTTTGTACCTCAGTCTCAAGAGATTTCTAAACTCAGGCCCCGCAGGCAATGAGTGCCCATTTCCCTCTCTTGTACAGTGAATCACTACAGCTGATGAGTGATATTCCAGCAGAAATGCTGATTCAAGAGAACGAGCAGTATTCCTTCAGAAGATGTTTATTCTGCTAAAAGCCTCCTCAGGGGCCAGGGGGCGG